CTCCCCGCGAGGCCCCACCCCAACTTCCGCTTCCTCTTCCCGTGGGCAGAATGCGGGTCTACGGACCCCGCCCTCTACCGTTCACCGCCTCGCGAGGCGTCCTGTGCGCAGGCGTAGTGGCCAGGCTAGCGGGAGCCGGGGGAGGGGAAGGGGTGTCTCTAGCTGCCAGTGGGCGGGGCCAGGAGGACGGGATGGGGCGGGGCGAGCAGGGGAGTTAGCGCTGCTCCACGGGGCTGGGCGGGCTGTAACTACGTAAATGGGAAAAATTAGAAAAAAGAGTATTGGAAGGCATCTTGCGCTCCTAAAAATTTCCAGAGGTGTCTGATTTGCGTTGCTTTGCCCTTTTTCCTACCTTCCTTCCTTCTTCCTTCCTTTCTCCGTTTATTTCCTTCCTTCTGTTTCAAATCATTTAAACAGTTCCACTCTCAGAATTTAAAAAATGTAATTTACCTGGTAGGTTTGATCTGCCTTGTGGCATCCAACTGAATACCTAGTCATTTGCTGGTCAGGGAAATGAGTTCCTTCTCTCCTTCTTTCCTTTTCCCTCCTTTCTTTTTCCTCCCCTCCTTTCCTTTCCCCTTTCCTTATTCGCCTCCTTCCTTCCTTTTGAAATAGGGAAAATATATAACTCGCAACCTGCTAGATGTCAGATATGGTGAATTTGTGTTCACCAAAATCTAAGAATGAATTCTAAGGAATAATGGAGGTTAAAACTAGGAAGACATTGAGAGAGAGCTCTTGAGAGCAGGAGGGGACCCGAAAGTGGGTTGCTGCAGAGCGTACTTCTCAAAGGAAGTTTTATAGAGCAAAATCAGAGGTAGGTACAACGTGGGTCAAAACTATGATCAACCAATAGGATTACAAGGATAGCTTCTTAAGTAATATTGATCCAAAGGGGGAGCAGGTCACTTAGCAAGGGTTCATGGAAAGACAAAGACCTTTTTAGGAAAGGATGGATCAGGAGGTCCTGGTCCCCCACCTGGATGACTGGTATGTACATAGACTTTCTGTGACCAAGTGATACCATTTATTGTATCCCTAGGGAAAGCATGTAGGCCTGACCATTCTGTCTTTATCTTGAGACCTGGCCTTTGACAGATGTGCCTCCAGCAACAGTTACTCTGTGTTCTTATCTTCTGCATTGACTCCATGGAGGGCCTAGCCTATAATATTTCTACCTAACTTAGCTGTCCATAATACCTCCTCCCCTCCTTCCTTCCTTCTCTCATTTCTTCCTCCTTTTCTTTCTTTCCTTCCTTCCCTCCCTCCTTCCTCTGTTCTTTCCTTCTCTCCTTCCTTTCCTTTCTCCTTCTTTCCTTCGTCCCTCCCTCCCTTCTTTCATTCACTATGCAGGATTGATTGGATTCAGACTCTGCTAGCAGCCAGAAGAAAGTTAAAAAGGATGGAGTAAAGCAATTCTGCTCTCAAGGAAATCCTCAACATTTAAGACAACAATGTGAATTTAGTATTGTCTTAATATCATGTGTAATGTTCTGCTGGGTGACTAACTTGAGGGTGTGGTAGGGGAAAAAAACCAACGGAGCTCTCTCACTAGCAAATGACATTCAGGACTAGATATTCAGTTTAATACCACAAGGTAGAGCAAAGTTATTTGGTATAATTTAGGTTTTAAAGTGTGTGTGTGTGTGTGTGTGTGTGTGTGTGTGTGTGTGTGTGTGTTTAGTGAGTTAAAGCTTCAGGACCATTCTAGGGAGGCAGCTCCATTCTTCCAAGCGTTTGAAGTAATACCTTGGAGTACATCAACCGTATGACTTGTACCTCTTAAGACTAATGATCCAGACACGTGAACACAGAGAGATCCAGTGACAACTCTTATGGTCAGCAAACAAGTCAAGCTGCTTTGCTACTGTTGCCACATATGTAGGAACTGAAAACACGCAGTCTGGAGCCAGGTAGCTTTGATTTTGAATGTAGCACCCACTCTCACTAATTTCGTGTCATCTTGAGCGAGTTACTTAACCACTCTCTGCTTTATATTTCCACATGTATAAAATAGATAATAACGGTATTCAACAAGTATATTTTTGTTACCATTTAGTAATAACAGATTTCAAGTCAAAAGAAAAACCTCTAAAAATTTAACGACAACTTGTATTGTTATTCTGTTAATTTTACTTCCTGATGTGATGTCTGGGAAGGGGTGAACACCACCCCACACCCTGTTACTGGTCTGCTGGGACATGCAGCTCCCTGAGATCCTAAACCCAGCATCACTAAAGAATTAAACCAACTTTAAAGTAAAAGAAGACAATTTATTTGAAGGTGGGGGAAAGGGGGAGAAAAAAAGGGGGGGAGCGGGCACATGCCTTAGAGAGAGCACCAGAAAGTTCTCATGGCTACTGGCTACTCTGGATGAGTAGGGGTATTCAAAAGGAAAATACTCCTGGATTTCTTTTCTGCAGCCTTTATTGAGATCCATGTCCCCTGTAGGCTCCTCCGGAATCTGATTGGCTACCTGGCTGGTTTTGGTCCTCTCCTTGGATTTCTTCCTGTCAAATGACCTTTCCTGTTGTTTGGTGGAGGCTAGGATTATGGGTGGGGGATTTAGGAACAAGTGGTTTAAGATTAAGTAAAGGAATTTATATTGATCATGCTACCTGGAACCTTCCTGAGTTTAGTTTCTTTGCCTTTGTCTTTCTGATTGTTTGAGCATAATCTGCAGAGGCCGAGGCCCCCCTAGTAAACTGCTTCTAGCTGCCTTTACTAAGTTTCTCCACTAACTTCTAGTAAAGCTCAGTGGGGCCTTTATCTTATCTTTTCCCTACCTACAAGGCCTCTTGTCCCTAACTGACAATTAGAAGTAGAAATCTACACACACTGTCATGAACATTTCCAAAAACAAATGTCAAGGAGGAGTTTGTCAGCAAATCCTACAGTCCTCAGCTATTCTCTGAGTCACTCTCCCTCCTGTGTGATCTCTGTTAACATTGTACTGATGGCTCTTGATTTATCATCCTAACCCAGACTTCTCTTATATGATTCACTTCCATATTTAGCTTCTTGCCCATTTGAATATCTTGAACTTAATGTTTTTAAATGAGATCTAGTTTTCTATAGATTCCAAACCTAGTTGACTCTCTGTCCTTCCCTATTTCTATGAATGGCACCATGGAGCAGCCTGAAGCAGAAATGTGAAAGTCATAATAACTCCGGAAATTTTTAGATCCCAGTTGGTTTCCTCACTTTTACTTTTATCTCTTTCCAGGTAATTTCACACATGGAGTTACCCTTTTAAAACAGGAACATTTACTACTTGTCCTAAGACTCTTCAGTGGCTTCCTGTTATACCTAGCATACAATTCTGAGCATTTATTGTGGACTTCAGGATCCTCTGTGACCTGACCCCAGAGGTTCCTTCTGTCTCACGACACTTCCTCCCACCCTCCATTGTTTCTTTAGTGCCTGTATATCTTGCCTTTTTTTTTTCATTCGTCCAGTTGGACCTTACCCTTTACTGTTTCCTGTCTAGAGTTGTCATGGTTTGTGTCTAGATGTTACCTCAAAGCCTCATGTAGTCATAGGTGGGGATTTTTCAGAGATGGCTGGATTTAAAGTTTGTGATGCTGGAATTGATTCATGGTGCAATGCTAGGATCAAGGACACTAGGATTAAGGCTGTGTGTGCTACCCCACCCTAAGTAGCCTGCATAAGATATAAGGGATAGAAAGAGTTGTGGTTGTCCTTTGTTTGCTTGCTTTGTTATATTCTGCATACCATGAACTGTTTCTTCTCTGTGATACCTGTCTACTATGCTACCTTGCCTTGGAGCCAGCCAATTATGGACGGAAACCTCTAAAAACTGTGAGCTAATAAGTCTTTCTTCCTTTAACTTTGGGTGTTGGGTATTTTGTCTCAGTAATGAGAAAAATAACTATGACAACAGTGTTCTTTTAAATCTTGCCCACTCCTTCTGAACTTTGAGATCTCAGTGCAATTCTTCCCTCTTCAGAGAGATTTCCAAGACAACCCATTTCTAATAGGTCCCTTAATTCTACCACGTAGCCCAATATTTTTCCTTGATAGCATTTATCACAAATGTTTTCATTTACCTATTTTGGTAGGTATTCCTGAGGGTCAACAATTACTTCCTTTTGTCTGCCATTATGAACACAAAAGAGAATTGCTCTTGCTGGTTTCCTTGTAGGTGAGCAATGTTATGGAGCTAATTTTGGCTTATTAGTTATGAGCTGAAGTAATAGGAGTCACTTCCAGGCTTTCCAGTGCAAGACCCTCCAGAGCTCTAGCAACCAGAAACATCTGAGGTCATGGCTACACTGTCAGCCTGGGACTCAGAGTGAGGAAAATGAGCAGAGAGAGTTTCCTTACAATCCTACAATAGATGTGTGAACAAGAATTAAACTTATTCTTTTAAACCAAGGTGACTTTGGTATTTATTTCTGGAGCAACACTGAGCCAATCTTGGCTAATACAGAAATTATTGCAAAGATAGGGATGTTACTACACCTAAAATTGTAGATTAATTGCATTGGTTTAAGGGCGAGGTAGTACACAACAAAGAAAACAGTAGGAGAAACTGTATCTTCACATCAATGGTAGGAGAAGGATGGGGATTCATATTCAAAAGTGGGAAATATTTGGCAAAACTCTTGTGATAGTGTGTGACACTCTGGAGGCAGATAATGTAGTCCATGAACTTGTAGCTCTAGTGGAAGAGGCTAGAAATGACAAGCTGGTGACATGTTGGTAACTATTAATGACACAAAAAGACACAGGAAAAGGTTAGATCAGGAAATAATTGCCAGCTTGAAAATAGGAATGAAAGTAATTATAGGGAGTTCAAAAATTTAGGTTTGCACTACTGGAATGTGCAAGTGATTCTCATCTTCAATTA